TACCAGGGAAAATAAAGTTCTGGGTTTGGGTTGTCTGCAGTTRCATAAAAAAAAGAAAACAATGTTTTTGAATTTGTTTCGTCAAACTGGAGAAAAAGTTAGTAGCAGCCATATAAAACAAAACACAAAACCCTTTTCCCTCAGCTAGTTTGAGTGCGGTTTTACACCCGTATCTTGTGGATTATAGATGTCTAGATTACGAGTGGAACTGTTATGACACTGGTAATGTGATTTTGTGCTTGTGTGTAAGGGGGAGTGTCTTTTTATCTTTTTTTTTTTGTGTGTGTGTGTGTGTGTGTGTTTTGAAAGAGAGAATGTGTTCTGGTGTACATATAATCCCCCCTCCCAGCCCCCCGGTCTTTTGAGACCAAACAATGGGACGCTGAAAGAAACAACGGCCCAAGCGCCACCACAGCCCATGGCCATATGGTCTCTGAAGACTTGGCTGGCGGCCCGTTCCGTTCTTTTTTTTTTTTCTGCAGTGTAATCGTGAGCRGCAAGCCGAGGGCCATCAAGTTAAACTCTTTATTAGCCGACACAACAAACACCTTAATTTGAGCTTGTTTGTTGTCGTTCGGTGCTTTTGGCAGTAGAGTTTAAATAACAGGTTGGCCTGCGCAGTACTTTGAGGTACATCAGTAAAATCAGGAGAAGTAGATTATCTACTTTATTAGGAGAAACCCTTCTTTTTATCCTGCTGTAGTTAAAGAAAATGTTGTAAAATTGCCATTTTATGTCCTATATGCCTGCAGTTTAAATATTTGTGTAGTTTATTATGTACCTAAACTTTAAATATGATAATTTAGTTGATTGCAACTTTTCAACAACTCATTGGACTATTTGTCCTGGTTTGATTTATTTGTAAAAATGTACAGAATTTTTAAAATGAGTGTTTGACTGAAGTACCAATTAAAGTTCATTTTGCTTTCTGTGGTRCTTAATAAACCCTCAATCAGTTAATTTCATTTGCTTCGTTGTCCTACATTCAACCAGTTTTGATGATTATGAGACAGGCCATTAAAAAAAATACAGAAAATGTGCTTTTGAGGCTGACCTAGAAGTAACAGCTCTATTTATAGGAGGCTATATTAAGGTCTGGTTTCTAGATCTGGAGCTCTGCAACTGATTCAGTTTGTGMTAYATGTGGTATTTCATAGCWTTTTGTTCATTGTCGAGTACAAATAGGCTGATGCTATTCTGTTTATTTATTAAACAKGAAGCTATAATGCAGAGATGGTCCTAAGTAAGCACTGACTTTGTCATCACTTCAAAGGTGCCAAGCAACTGATGTAACTGCATTCAGCATGCAGTAATAACTAGAGAAATTACCTTTACTGCGGAAATGCAGTGTGAATGCTTAATGCTGAAATATTTGATCTGAAAGCTGCTAAAGAAGCTGAAAAGGGTTAAAAGCAAAACTGTTAATGCGAGTTAAATTTGAACCATTGACTTTTGCTGAAAGTAGGAAAACAAATGAAAAACCACTAGAAATAAAGCGAAAAAGGAATAAAAAATCTGAAAAGAGCAAAAAAGAAGCTAAAAATAGATGAAACGTTAAAATCAGCAAATGGGGGGAATGAGAGTGAAAGTTTTCAAATGAGTAAAAAAAAACAAGAAAAGAAGAATTTGCAGTTTGTTTAGAAATAGCTGAAACTAGCCTAAAATGGCTTTAGAAAGTAGCCGAAATTAGCATAAAGAAACAAAAAGAGCACGTTTGCTTTAGTAAGCAATAAGAAGCTGAAATTATCACAAAAAGTGAATTTTACTGAAAAAAATTGTTGAAATTAGCTAAAGACGGAAAAATGCTTACAGTAAGTAATCAGAAAACAGCTAAACGAAGCTTAAAAATCTTAAATTAGCAGAAAGGACAAAAAGTAGAGTAAAAGAAAGTGGCAGAATGATGGCAAAAAARGSMRRAAAAAAGACAAAATCAACAAATTACAAAGCAATGGAATCTGAAAGCAGCAGAAAGAAAAAAAAGGTGGAACCAGAATAAAAGGTAAAAAGTTCAGTGAAGATTGATAAGCTTTCACACAATAATAAAAATAAGCCTGTTACTGAACAAAAAGCGGWATCAGCTAAACACCTGCTCTCTCTCTCTGCTGTCTGTTGTTTTTTTAATGCTTCATTGTTTGGTTTCTGATTACAGCACTGGTTTGTTTTATATGCATAATATTCTCCTCACCTTTTCACACAAACGGGCCTGGTTGTCATAAAAACAGACACCCCACATCAATCTAAGTCTGCCTGACGTTAAATAAGATCCTCCATTTTAAGATTAGCGTATTTGTTATGCAGAGTCAGTGGCTGGGCCTGCTTAAAGAAAGAGAAAAGGAGAAACTTTCCTAAACTTACAGAATTTTATCCATGCTTGTGGACCTTTTGTCCATCTTTAAGTGATTTTCACTTGGGTTTTCCTTTTGGTGTCAACAAAGCAAAGATTTGAAGATTAAAAAAAGCTCAGTGAAAAGTCAGTTTGGGTTTTAACGACGAAAACTTTAATCTTTTAAACTCACCAGAAATGAAATGAGAACCCAACTGTACTTTTACAAAATGACATAGTCCTGCTCTACATTATTAGTCATTATTGGTCAGATAACTTACTTTTGGCTTTAGAAATGTTGCTTTTTATTAGAAAACCTTTTAAAAGATTCAAATTATCTCTGTTTTATGTTTTTTGTTGTCTCAGAAGCAGACATCTGTATGATTTGATGCATTCCTAACCCATCATTTCCTGTTTAGACATGGTTATATAAATCAAAAATTGAACAATTGGTGTAATCTCCTTTCCAACTTGCTAATTTAATTGACATCATCCACTWCTGTTACCAGCAGGGAAATGCTACTTAGGCAGTGAATCAGATGGGTGGGACTTCTCCAGATAAAACTGATTGGTTTATGGTGAAAGCTTCGCTGCAGAATCATAATTCTACTCTTTATAATTGCTTTAGGTTTAACMAATTCAGAAAACTGGATTTGTTTTCTTTGCTCTGACAGTTTGTCTATTGTGGTTACAGTGAGGCAGCGTTTTTTTTTTCTTTTTTTTCTTTTTGGGGTGTGTTACTTATGTGTGCCAGGTGTCAGTCAGTGGCATACTTGTCATACTTGTTGTCTTGTCAGCCAGCAGGAACTATTGTAATGGAGGCAATTATTTGGGTTGTTGTACACTGATAGCCACAGAACGTCTTGAGACTGYATTGTGTTTTTGACAGTGTGTAGTCCGTGTTCTTATCTGCTGTCATCTCTGCTTGGATTGGAGCAGAAATCACGTCTGAGTTTTTTCTTTTCTTTTTTGCATRTTCACAGCAACCAAGGCCTGTTCACTGTAGGAGTAAAAAGATTTGGGTCACATTGATTTTTAATAGTGAGATGTTTTTTTAGATATGTATTACACCAATTACTCATATCTTCTCTCTAAATAAACCAAATAGTCCCAACACAAAGTAAAGAACATATTTTTTGTGAGTTACGTRATTGTCCTTACTTTGAGACCAGGCCTGATTAGGCTTCCACTGGGTCAGTTTGCTGCAGGAACTCACCATGTTGGCACATGCTTTTGCACTTTATCCCCTAGAGATTAACCTTGCATGCTTTGCATTGAAATAAAATCCCTTCTTTTCTAAACTCTGCAGTCAATCTTCACCTTATGTCCGGGCGGGACCATGAGCTGGGTCGAAAAAAATCGTCGTTTGGAAGGATTTAAATCGATTGGTGTGCACGGCGTAGGGGCTTTGAATCTTCGCCCTGCACTAACCATGTGTGGACAAACATTCAGTGCTTTGCTTTTGTCCCAGTAACAGAGTCCAAGGGATTAGCAGTCTGTGCTAGATAGATCAGGAAGGCTGCGTGTTTGACTGGATCTCGCTCTGTGTTAATATGTAAACGTCTGAGCTGAACATAAATGGGTTTACAGGAAAGCTCTAGTTTTGTGCAAACGACGTCATTTGATTGGACAAAATGTCAATTCTGAATTACGTCCCAAAATAAACAGCACAGTCGGCGTAACTTGATTTACTCATTTGAGAAGTAATGCTATTTATGAGCACACAGAAAGGAAAACAACACACGTGACTGGATTGCTCCATCCCCACCCAGTAGAGCCTGTTTCTACGTTTCCGTGKTTTTTTTAAATATTTTTTTATGAATGACTGCTTTCCATGTCACCTTTGAGCCAGTGACTCACCTTCAGTCATTCCTCTAAGATTTAACCCAACTAGTTTAACAACATTGAAGGTTTCAACACAAAAGGCAAAGAAAAAAAAAGGATATTATTGGCAGATTAGTATAATTGTAAAAGCTGAAACACTTTGAGACTTGACTGTAGTACAAGACAGAAAGTAAAGCRTTATGTTTATTCTATTTTAGTTGTATAAGCAGTGTTTATTGTAACAACAGTTTAAAAGGTTTTGCCATCAAGCAGTAAGGCTGTGAATGTGGGTCAGTAGAGTGCAAATCATAGCTGTCTGATACCAATTCATTGGTTAATAGCTCCCTCTTGTGGAGAAATATGCAAACAGATCTGTTTATCTGTTAAACTTCTTTAATGTTGTGCTAAACAATAAAAAAAAAACATATGTTTGATTGCACTAATGGGTAAATTATTAACATATTTGGATGTTTTTCAGTTTGATAATCCAAATATTGTTGAACATCATGGTTTTTGTTTTATTGTTGTTTTATTTTCTGCTGGATGTAAATGAAAAAATAAATCATAATTTGGCATTAAGGAGTTTGTCCAGCATATTGTATTCAGGCCAAGTTYTTTTCTTTCTTTTAATTCAGTGTTGCCAGAAGAATAACGTGGCAGTGAAACATGGAGTAGTTGTGCAGATTCTATTAATAGGTCCTCTGTATTCCAGCAGCTGTCCCTCTTCCATGGCCTGGCCTAGCTCCTCTCACATTACACCCCCCCAGTCTACTCTTCAGTCCACAGCCTCACTGCGGTGMTCTGACTCTGACCCCGCCCCCGCGAGGTTACCCACCCTCTCAGGTCTTTTCGAGTATCCGTGCTCCTGGCAGACTCGGGTCTTACCCCACGTTATAGCTCWGCCTGCGCTGCTCTGCTGGCTGAGTGAAGATTGGAAGGTTAACCAGGCCCTGAGAGGAGGTAATGGACTCRAGCCTCTGGTGGACTGAGTGTGTGGCGAGCGTTGGGGCCGATCTGCTGAGGGGGGGTGTACACGCTCAGCTTAGCAGTTCCATTAGGGGCTCTGATAGCGTCTCAGAATGGCCTCCTTTGCTGCTCAAACTATTTATAGGAGTGGACGCTGATGAAAGCCGGGCCATGGATGGTGAAATAGTTGCCTTCTTGCTTTTGCTCCACCATAATTTCGCTCTCGTTATTGAAAAGTTCTATCAGAAGTTTTGAAAGTTGAGTGCTCTTGTGATGATCTGGGCTGTGTTTTACTGTTGGCTACATGTTTTCTGAACTTTTGCATTCAAATAACCTAAATATCTTATATCCTTGTTATAGAAATAAATGTTAATTTACTATGAAAAAAGGGTTGTTTTCTCCACATTTTCAGTGGAGGAAAAATAACAATTTAATTTCATTATGTTTATGTATTCTATCCACCGTTATCTCACGGCTCTGTTGGTGTTTGATCTGTTGTGKACAGAAAAACAGTCCAGGATATCCCACCTGCTCATCCTTAAACTTCTCTTCTTCATCTCTCAGTTGCAGAATCCAGCCTCTTTGGCTGCCGTTTGATTTTTCCCACATCATTCCACGAGTTTATACTCCACATTGTCCAGTTTAAATCCATGATCCTTGACCCGTCACCATGGCTTACAGGTCCCGCTTCTCCTTCTGGGAGCAAAAGGGAAGTCCTGTTTCTGTGTTTAATGCTTGTCTTGCTGATTTTGTCGAAAGTTATTCAAATGAATGTGTGGCTTGATCTTCTTTTGCTGCTTTTTTTTCTTTTTCTGTAGGTTAAAGTTGAGAACAAGCCAGATGTAAGTGTTTTCTCAGGTGCATGTGGAGTGAATAGTTACTCCAGAGATTAAAGACATGGGCTCAGATGGACGTTTTGTGAGATTAAGTCAGTTAGCTTGCACTGGTTTGAAGAGATTTGCTCATGAGTGCTGGAATCTGGTGTGATAAATATAATTCTTTATTCTATTATTATTAAACGTTGAGATACTTTTTAAATCTAACCTCTAACAATATATCTTTGTTCACTTACAATTAAAAGTGTTTGTTCTTTTGAAGACTTTTTAAAGTGTGATTTTGTGAAGAGGTTATAAAAATTAATGTACCTGCTGTATAAAGCTCTTTGAACAAACTTGTTTAAAAAAAAAAGCTTAATTCTGAGCGCAACCAAGCCCAAAGTGGTTTACTGCTGTTTTAAAACTGTTCCAGTCTCAAAAGTTTTGTAGCGGTTCATGTGAAACAAACAACTTTTCTGTCWCTTTCACATTACCCAGTTATTCCAGCAGAAACATTAAGAAATTCTAGCTGGAAGTGCACCGCTTAGCTTTTTCTGCCACCKTTTGTCACCCATAATCACAAAGTTCAACGCAAATAACTGATTTGTTTGTAAAAATGTATAAAATAACCAGAAACTGTATACGATTTATTGGCCAAGTTTTTTAACATGCAAGGAATTAGACGTGGTGGTGTTGAGGTGTAGAGCGTTCGATGTAAACAAGGAATAAAAATCAAAAGTACAGAGGTTAAAAAAACAAAACAAGAAAAAAAATCAAGYAAACATTGTTGCAGATGGAGGATRTTTTGTGTAAATGAACATTACTGTAATGTGCACAGGATATCAGTCCAAAATTGCKTTAATGTAACACATAATATCCATACATTAATGTGATGGCGGTTGAATCAGTGGGGGTCCCTGGACTTGTTGATTCCAGTAGCAGTGGGAAAACAACTGCTCTTTTGGCAGGAGGTTTTGGTCCAACACTGTTGATCATTCTGAATTTTTGAGGACTGGTTGTAATTTAGCATGGCAGTAAACCACTTGGTCTACTGCTTCTACCAGCCAGTAGCTCGTTGGTCCAATCAGAAAAAAACTTTGCTTCTCCAAACTTAGGCTGTTCCAAAAACTATACAACCTTTCTGATTTGAATCTCAAAGGTTTTAAACTATTGCTTTAACAGTAATCATTTGATCAATTTTAACAATTAAAAAACCAAAAATAAACAATTAAAAAGGGTGGACATGACACGGTGGCTCAGTTGTAGGGCTGTTGCCTCTCAACAAGAAAGTTGCTGGAACTTTCTGAGTGGAGTTTGCATGTTCTCTCTGTGCATGCATGGGTTTTCTCTGGGTACTCTGGTTTATTCCCACAGACTAMAAACATGAATGTTAGGCTAATTTATAACTCTAAATTTCCTCTAGATGTAAGAGTTTTCTTCTTTCAGTAGCACGTCTACAAAGCTATAGCTTGCCTAAATATAAGTAGTATGATCTAAACAACATCTAACAAATCTCTGTAGAATATTTTCTGAATAAAAGAAGTTCACATTTGCATGACAGTTTTCATCATCAACCTTTTCAGCATTGGTTGAGGTGTGCACGTTTTTGTGTTTCATGTGTGCAAAGAGTTGCAAATAAAARCTGGATGTCTGTTTACAAATAATCTCATCACCAGTTTCTGAGCCCAGAACCATGCTGTTAAATTTTACGCAGTTTTTCTGTGTCAGTCATGAAAATAATCGGAACTCCCACGATCTGTTTGTGTCCAGTCTGATAGTAGTCAGCCTCAGGCAGAGACAAAACCTGGGCTAGATCCAGCAGGTGGTCCGCAGCCGACTTCTGAGGAGTTCAATAGTAACCCTGCCTTGGGAGGTCCAGAAGCACCGGGGGAGGAGGAGAGCAATAAAAGTGTTGCGAGAGCTATGAGAAGAGTTGTTCGGAGTGCATTTCCTACTGGTGCAGAGGAGCAAAACCGGCCCGCTGTTTCTAYATCTGCATCAGAGCCGGGATCCTCCAAAGCTGGAGCTGCTGCCGACAAGGATGATATATCTGTGGGTCTGACCAGTTTAATGGGCCGAGGCAGAACCAAGGAACAYCGGCCTCGCACCCGCACCCAGGACCGCAAAGAGGAAGCAAAGGAGGAGGAGAAAGGAAAGGCGGAAGAAGGAAAACAAGAGGAGGCCTCATCCGTAACAACTCCCGCAGCTGCGAACCCCACGCCACCGAAGTCCAACCCCTTCACCCCTCCTCCCAAACCTGATCCCTTGGCACCGCCGGCTGGTTTCATCCCCATTCCCAAACWGAATCCATTGACTCCTCCACCTGGTTCCATGCCTGCCAAAAAATCGAGCCCCGTGCTGCCCAAACAGAATCCCTTGGCGAGACCTCCGGGATTCATCCCTGTCCCGAAGACCGATCCGCTGGCACCTCCTGCAGGATTTATACCAAAGCCTCGTCTGCTCACTGTAAAGAAACCAGAGTTAGTGAGTAAAAACAAAGTGCATGTTTACCCCTTGTCATCTGKGCCGAGGATAAATGCATACATCCAGTGCCATCTAACTTTAACTTGAGTGAACTTCCAATCCAGTCCAGTCTAATCCAGACAGAATAAACTACTAATCTTTATTAACAAAACTATATCAACATTTTTTTAAATTACAACTTGTTTCTTTTATTTCTGGCATAATGAAGCCATCAGGAATGAGAGGGAGAAAAGTGCACATGTGGGCCTAYGATCAGACTTCATCATTGGGTAGAAGAAGTGTGTGTTCATTGCCTGCTCGGGCAGGATGGTCAGTGGAGGCAGTCTGTGAGCACCGAGCTGTGACTCATTACCATCCCTTTCTGTGAAGTTTTCACTCTGAAAAGCTGTAAACTACTCAGGCAGAGGGACTTTATGGATCTTTGGGGATGCTTTTTAAAGAAACCAAGAGTTATGTTTGGAACTAATATCCYCATCTTAAAGTCTGTTGTAAACTTAATGTTCACATTCTAACTGTGAAATCCAGGTGAAATATACGAGAGTGCACTTGGGATTGTCTTTGCTGCACATCTATGAATAATTAATTTAGTTGCAGAAAAATTTATTAGTTTTGAAGATATATATCAAATGTTTTAGAAACTGTTTATAGATTTTTGTGTTTCTAACCTCTCTAAAGAGATCTTTAGTTTAGAAATTATTTAGGCCAAGAAAAATCTTTTTAGCCTAACTGGAAACTGAAGCATCACTGAGGGTTTGCACTGCCCTGTGCATCTACTGTTGTGCTTGGCTGTTTTTACTGGAGGTAATATTTAGCAAAAACATTCTAAAAAGCAAAAGAGTTGACATGTATCAGTATATTTTCACATTATAAACCAAATAATAATAAATAAAAAAAGAATGCACATGGAAGAAGAAATCACAAATATCACAGGAAAGACAATCATCTTTCAATTCTAGTGTTTTACATGAAATAATATTAAATAAAAAAAGAATGCACATGGAAGAAGAAATCACAAATATCACAGGAAAGACAATCATCTTTCAATTCTAGTGTTTTACATGAAATAATATTCTGTTTTTTTACAGTTACTGAAATTAGTCAAATCTAACTTTAAGCATGAAAAACATGCAACGTATCCCGCCATGTTTAACAAAAACACCATGTTTAACAATGTTTAACAAAAACAAAGCCAAAATGGAAAAGTTTTGTACGGGAAAAAATGAAGTTCCCCCTATCTAGCACCTTTTAACAAAAGCAATTTGATAAAACATCTAAAAAGAACTATGTTTACTTGTTTAGCTTAGTTTGTTTACCCCAAGGCATAAAGTTCATTACAAGACAAGCAAAAAAAGCCTGAACTAGCTTTTTTGGAAGGGCTGTCAGGAAAACACCTGTTCACTTTAAATATAATGTAGCAATATGACAAACGTTTGCAACTTTTCATTTGAACACAGCACAGGACTTCTGGAACATCAGTGTCATTTGGAGAGATGAGACTAAAGTAGACACTTTACCCATAATACACTGTGTGTTTGGAAAAACTCAAATACAGCACATCRACACAAACACCATAAACCAGTGGTGCCCAAAGTTAGTCCTCAAGGGCCGACGTCCTGCATGGTTCAGGTGTTGTTTTGGCTCAACACAGATGAACCCAATGAGGTCGTAATTAATAGGCCTTCGCAGAYCTTGATAAGGTAAATTGTGCATTTTAATAGGTACCACATCACAATTAACAAATAAATCATGAAACTGCAGCAAARATAATAGTCATGTCTGTATATATCACTTGTACAAAAGTACAAGTGAATATAAAAACACAAATACCAAACATTTACTGTTTTCAACTATTTGATAAAGCTGTCTTTTGACTGATAAACCATCAGTTCATACAGTATCTGYGAACCATAAAATATCCCGCCGGGTCCAAAACTGCTTTAGAAAGCCTAGAATGCAAAGTTTTTTTTAAATTTATCTTGTTATATTCACTTTTTGTTTAGGGGTTAGGGCAATTATTTAAAATAATATTAGGTAAACAACAGTGGTGTAAATGATATTATTGTGACAGCTTGATATGGTTTAAACTCGACTGCTTTTCTCAGGATCCTTTAAAATCTTGTGCTTGAAATTCAGATGAGACTTTTATTTTTATTCACTTCAAAGAAATTAGCAGCAAATAGTTGTTGAGGCAAAAACAAATAAAAGCTGTGAACCGTTGTTTCCCTGCAGGACTTAATTAACCAATTTTCCTTTAAGAGCCATTTTCTGTTTTGCATCTCCTGATTGAGTCAACTGGAACACTAAATTAGTTAGTAGCTCTGTTAATYGAGTCTAACGTAAAAAGAGAGTGTCTCTGACTAGAGCAGAATTGTCATCCTCACCATCATGCCGTGTTAATTCCATCTGTGTGTGCATGTTTGTTTGTTTGGGAACAYTTACACATGTGAGRTAAAGGAGACTTTTTCCTCCCCTGTGGCCCCCAATGGCAAACCACCCTCTGTTGCTCTGGCTCATTCCCAGTCTGCATCGAGTGAACAGGAGTGTGTTCATCCTGCTGCAAAGGTACACACATAGTGTGCTTCATGTTCATACATAGCTGCTTTTTGCCTTTTTTTATTTCAGTTTTTCTCTATTAGAGAGGGAGTTACTTTGGGTTTATTAATTGTGCTTTCTGGATGCAAACCACGATTACAGGTTCCAGAGCTGATTCCTTTCGAGGAAGACTACAAGCGTGTCAAAAAGATCTTCACTCTAGATGATAATGTAATATCTCTGCTTTTTCACTTTGCACCGGTCATGCATTACTGCAGCTTGTGCTGTRAGGAGCTTGAGCCAACTGCTTACAATGCTTACTCAGCTAAAGGGAAAATAAAACGGTTGAAAAGTTTGAGGTCACTACCAACATAAGACCACTGTGAACCTGGCACTAACAACCAGCTGGTGTGATTTGACTGCAAGTGGACAGCTTTGATAGGGGGCATTCATCCTAGCAGTMAAATGCACACCTCAAGACTCCTTTGTGATTGGATCTCAGTTATCTGCTCTGTATGCAGGTACACACACAGCCATGCCACACAGTGGGCTGTCAGATCAGCGTGACAGCAGTAGGGCTTGACAGTGTGGCTGAAAAATGGTTCATGATGCAAGCATTTCATATCAGTCGATATTGATAATTATTAATAAGTTTTGTGTTCTGCCTGTTTGAAAAAAGGACCAGGAGATAAAAGGCTGTGACGTGACCTTTCCTCTTTCATCCACAATTTCTTCTCGAGTTGTTGCACTTCCTTTCAGTCCACATCGTTCTTTTTTTATTTTGAAGCAGTTATTCACTGTGGTGAAACCTAAAACTACAACTACATGTTACTCAGCAGGTTGTTGCTATCTCACCAAAGAGTGATAATGCTACCAACCTTGTTTAGCTGGGCCGTGAGAGGTTGAGTGGCTAAAGCCTTTCCTCTACCYATATCCACCAGAATCCCATGCGGTTTTGACATTAATGCAGTTCAGAGCCATTTTAGTCACAGTATATGGMGTTATTTATTAGACAGTACCAATGAGCTATAAATACGATAGGGGAGAAATAAAGAGGCATAATGACTAAGCATTTGAACTAAAAAAAACATTCAATCATTGTCTGTTTTCTACACATCTGTGAATGTAACATCAAAGCTGTGTTTAATTAGGTAAAAATAATGCAACGTAAAGGGGACATATCCTGCAAAATCCACTTTTTTRGCCCTTAAATGCATTTTGTTTTATATCTGGAGTCTCTAGGAGTGCAGAAAWGTTAAATTCAGTCTCACCCRGTGCTGCAAAGATATCTTTATATTGTGTTTGGGTCACATTTTTCAACCCATTCAKTTTTCTCTATTTTCTATGACCAAAGCATTAGAGTTCCACTTTATATGGACCCCAACTGAATCTCCTTTTATAGTCCTCAGATTGTTGTCCTGTGATTTACACAACACATTATAGTTCACAGTGATCACTGTGGGTCCAATCAGCTTTAAAACAATCAGAACTGTAAAACTCGCCGTACTGCATCTCGGCAATCTAATTAATAAAATGTCAATAAAATGTTTTTATTGAGAAGTATTCTGGTCCAGAAGAATCAATTGTTTGAACCAYCAAAAATGGTTTCATTGAAGGCAATCTGAAGCAGCACTGAGGTCTTTCTCTCATTTAGCACTACCAGATGTTCAGTCGTACAGAATGGTTGTTGATGCCAGGTCTGAACGGGTCTTTGATGGTGATCTTCAAAGGTCAATTCTGAAAAGTTAAAACCAAGAAGATTTTTCAAAATTATCATTTGTCTTTGCATCCATTCTGTTGCATTGATTTATTGGTTTCAACAGCCAAACTATCTCATTGGATTAAGGATTACATTTTAGACTTCCCTCTCTCTTTTCTCCTTGTTTTCACMTCCACTTGTCTCAAGTCATATGTTTTCTTTTTGCTTTTCTCTGGCCCCTGGATCCTTCCTTGCCCCTGYGTTTTTTTATTTTTTTGCTGCTTGCATGGCTCTAGCGTGCCGGAGGCCACAAACGCACTCAGGTACGCCCTTTTTGACCTTTGGCTCTCCCTTGGCTGCAGACCGATGGGAGCCTCAGCATGTCCTCCTCGGCTGTGACCCTGCTCTGGTTTGCTCTTTTGTGCTTGTCTGCATGTCTTTGACCCCATGCTGCTTGCTGGGTTCACACAGAGGCCTGGAATGTACTAATGTCTTAAACAAAACTCGCRTCTGTTTGTGTTCTTGCAAGTTTTTGAAGAAGTTTAACTTTACYAAATCAGCATTAAATTTATTCTGAGATCAGTGTGCCCTGTGTGTATTAAAGTACTTATATCTAGATCTATTCCTTATACTCACATTTAGRTTATATTTATTTTGTAGTCCTGTGTATCTGTTTTATTGTAATAGAAAGTCTGTTTAACTATAACAGGTGACTTAAGTTTAAAGTAGGAAATGCCACAATTGGAGTACATTTATTCGACACATCTGTTTTCATTATACACTTAAACTGTCTGACTTTGTGAAATGCTGGTATAGATTTTCAGTCATCCAGGACATGGTAGTCCTGATAAATTGAAYAGGACTAGACTTCTTTGTTTTTTAATCTCGAGGATGTTTCGCCTCTCTTCAGAGGAGCTTGCTCAATTTAAAACTGAAAGCTGCAGCTTCAAGCTTATAAACTGTTGGGCTTTTTCTGACACTCCTGCCACGAATGGAATGACAATCTTTTTGCGCTTGTTATCCTTTTTTTTCTACTTTGTTTGATGCTGTGAAGTTTGTTCTCAGTTTCTTTTTGTTTATTTAACAAAAGGCCCAGTTTGGGTAACTGGAGGTTTAAAATGTTTTTTTTTTTTATGTTTGTGTTCGTTTTTCTTTCTTTTTTTTACCCTCCATTTTTATTTTTAGGGAATATTCTCACCTTGCTCTAGTGAGTCAAACATGCCTCAAAACAATTCAGTAATTTATTTTTTCATAATTTATGCCATATTTTTTATCCATTTTCTTTCTCTGCTTGTTTCTTTTCATGTTAGCAGGGAGCTGGTCCCTGTCTCCAGCACTCATAGTACTGAAGGCAGTTTGCACAATAAACAGGTCTCTAGTCCATCACAAGACCTGCAGAGATGAACAAGACAACAATTTACGCTCCGTCCATGTTGAAACAAGCACAGAAAAAGTTTTGAGACTTTAAAAGGCAAACACAGGTAAACCAAGGAAGRTGTCCACGTGTCAGGACAGGAAATAAAAATGAGGAGCTCCGATAATAGTAAATAATGCAGCACAGGAGAAAAAACAAACTGAACAGAAACAGAAGTCAAAGTTTGTAGTGGAAGGRATGGCAAGAAATTAGATTTTCTGTCAGTTAAATCAATTTTGAAGCACCATAAACACAAACGTAAGTATTSGATGGGCTGAAGAGAAGCTGTCATAGACAAATAATTAGCTGAAAGTGATATTTTGTGATGAATCACAAATCTGCTGTGAGCAAAGAGATGACACTTGAACTTTAGTCTGGTGCATGTCAGAAGGAACATAATGTGCACACACACATGCAGTCTAGTACAGCTATCTTTAAGGGGACATTGCAAAGAGGCTGTTCTACAAAGCTGCTTTGTCAGCTGCTGGATAAAACAAAGATTATTAATATATATTTTTATTAGTGAGGTGTTATTCTTGAGAAATTGTAGCTGCAAATGTGAAAAGATGCAACAAAGCAACAGTTTATTTTCTTTTTGTTGATAGTTTTTACTCCCAGTGATCTATAAAAAGCAATTAAATACATCAATGTAATTTTAAAGTAAGTTTTGCAAAGCTAGACAGTTCAGCGCTTCAGATAAATTATAATCGAGTCAGACTTGTCATCCTTTTTCTTCAACCAAACTTGCTTGGACATTTTTGTTTTGCTCTCATAGCAGCATTTGACATTTGTAACTAACCATWAGGGCGCTGGTAATCTGAGTGTGACTATTACTCTGATGAACATGAATTACTTCASTGAGCCACTCACTCTACTAGAGTTTCTTGGACACCTGTTTTTTGACTGATTTTGGTTTGTGTTTACTTACACTTAATAGCTTGTCACCTACCGTTACTGTGGAGCAGTAATGGGTTGAGCAGCATTTGAAAACGACAGCTGAATGTGATGTATGGGTTTTGAATCAATCAACTGTGATCCTTCCCCTTCTCCAGTCCAAGCTTGTTGAGGACCCCGTGGCCATCCTTCAGGCAGCACACGCAGCTGCAACTAAGGTCTGATCAYGGCTACAACTGCTCGTTAACCCCGACTGCGTCGTTGTTTGTGTGTGGTATTTTTTTTTTGTTGTGTGTGTAGTAATCAGTGGAGCAGTCTCACCTCCTAGAAGCCCAGGCCTTCCTTGTAGTCTTCCCAGCAGTCTCTGTGGTAAAGAAGCGGCCTTACTCCGTGTCAGAAATCATCTGTTGATGTTTCTGTAAAATGTATAGCAGACTGCTTTTCTTGGAAAAACAAAAGTTAGGTTGGCAACTCTCCATCATTTCAATAAAATTCCAGGAACCCTGATAGGTTGGTACAGTTCATCAATGTTCACCCTAATACACAAGTTCTGTGGAAACTGAACTATAGACATACAGTAAAGCTAATATATAACAATAACAGCAGGATACAGAGTGACTCATTACCAGTTTTAGTATTGTTGAAACCATAAAAAAACCACACCATCTGTGCTGGATTCTGATGTGGAGGTTTTATTATATTCAAACTTTTATGGGACCTTTTAAATATCTTCTATGTCAACACCCTAAAGAAAGAAAATCTAAAAATCTGGTGTTGTCTAATATTTATTTATTCCTCATATAATTTTGATCCAATTGCTTTTGATGCTCTTATACATTTTCTTTTTCAATATTTAGACAATTTTGAGTGTGAAGCAAAAAAAAAAAAAGAAAGAAAAATCTCACCTTCTCCCATGTCGCTATTATAAACGTATGATGGGAACCCTCAGTGAGTTCAGTGAACACTCTGAGTGCTTTCAAGGGTGCATTAAAAGGTGAGTCATAGTTATTTTATAGAGGGCTGCTGGTGTAATGGACATACCAGGTGGTGAAATATCAAAACATAACCAGAGATCTCAAAATTATGCGACTGATCTCATGAGAAAAAAAAAGGAAAAGAAACAAGCTTGCAGACAGAATCACTACCTTTCTTTTATGTGAAAGTTATGAAAAAGAATATTCACTTCTTGTTGGGAAAAATCTCCTTTTTGGAACCAATTAGAACGTTTGTAAGCATGATATTTGATTCAATAAGTATTATACATTTTGCCTTGTTATTTTTTCATTCTGATATTTGCCCCTTTTTTTTGGACAGGGGAAGACGGAGGAGCAGATACGAGCAGAGAAAGCCTGGTACAATACAGAAAAAGTGTGGCTGGTTCACAAGGATGGATTCTCCTTGGGTTTGTATGACTTATTAGCTGACAATTAGCTAAAATGTTCTGTCGCAGTAACTGAGAGTCAATCACAGCCCGTACTCTTATTGGGTATTTTGTGGTTGATTAAATTCATTTTAGATACAGTCTTACTGGTATATTTTATACTTTGATCAATTGTAATTATTTACTTTAGACAGCAAGAGAATCAACAAGTCTCTATTTAGCGTAACATGAGCCTCGCCCCATTAGTGTTAACATGTTTTATATTTTAGCAATGTAGAGCTGTCTTAAGTGTACTTCCTTGTTTACGATGACATCATATCTGGGGTGTGACCAGGTTTTCTATAAATATTGTAAGTGTATGTGATTTATTTTTAAGTCTTCAAAGCCACAAATAGGCTTGGAGTGAAATGGAGTCTTTAGATCTGAAAATAAACCTTCAGCTGAGAACTTAATTGGTTTTCTGCGCCTGATTTGGGTTACCAGTCTGACTGCTTTACACTCTGACCATAGCGTTATGCAATGTCACACAGATTGCACATAATGTTATTGTCAGGGTTTGACCACAATAGATAAAACTTGGTCATGAAAGGTGATATACATTCCTTTGCGTACTTAATGATCCAACCTGCTCAGTTCTAGCAGTTTTATTTCTGCTTGGCATTTCAAAAGTTGTCCAAGTGGGCATTGGAAGCACAGGCAGCACTTTTCAAAATGTTGATATTACAAGATGTCACTTCATTAATCTACTCTTGTTTACCTCAGCCCTCGTGTGTTTACACTCACCGTGTTTTCCACATGRGAGCATGTTGGCTTTATTGAAAGAGACTAAACCAACCCGCGCCATCAGGCGTGCGTGATAAGATGGAAGTTTTTGCACTCCGGTTAGGGCCACATGTGAAAATAAATGAATTTCTCACTTTGCGATGATGCAGCGACACTTCTGAAGACCGAGTCAGGCAGCCTGCCAGAGGGGAAGGTAAAAATCCRCCTGGAGAGTGATGGATCTTTATTGGACGTGGACGAAGATGACGCGGAAAAGGTAGTTAATCATAAAATCAACTCTGAACCTCATCCATAATGGATGACACACCGTCAGTGTGTGTGTGTGTGTGTGTGTGTGTGTGTGTGTGTGTGACCGCCTCTGCCTTTGAACTCCAGGCAAACCCTCCGTTGTTTGACCGAGTGGAGGACTTGGCCTCTCTGCAGTATTTGAATGAGTCGAGCGTGATGCACTCCCTGCGGCAGCGCTACGGCAGTAACCTGGTGCACACCCACGCTGGGCCCAACATGGTGGTCATTAACCCCATTAGTGCCCCCTCTATGTATTCTGAGAAGGTAGGCAGCAGTCTGAACATGTAAGGACACATCTCWTGTGTGTCTACATCAATAGGAGTGTAAAGAGAATTCATTATACACATCTTTTTTTATTCTTCTCTTCTTCACGCTGATTTTGTTTTTGATTTTCAGGTGATGCAAATGTTCAAGGGCTGCAGAAAAGAAGACACTGCCCCGCACATTTACAGCATGGCTCAGGCCGCCTACAGGAACCTCTTGACTACTCGCCAGGATCAGTCCATCGTCCTCCTTGGCAAGAGTGGAAGCGGAAAGACGACAAACTGTCAGCACATCATCCAGTATCTTGTTACTGTCGCCGGAAGTGCCAATAAAACTTTCTCTAGTAGGTTGGAAAGGATGTACTCCAAATTAAAAGATTTTAGAATATCTTCCAAATTTTAATTACTGAGTTTTGAAATCCTAAACACAACTTTTTCTCTCTCTTTTTTTTTGGGTCTCTTGCAGCTGAAAAATGGCAGGCAGTCTATTCAGTTTTGGAGGCTTTTGGAAACGCCTCCACTTGTATGAACGGGAATGCAAGTCGCTTCTCCCATGTTGTTTCCCTGGAGTTTGATCAGGCAGGATTGGTGACTTCAGCTTCTATCCAGGTACAAAAACAGCAACTTTACAATCATGTAGAAGTATCTAAAATAGGGCCCATTATACTCCATCCAAAGCTGAACAGTCGACTGGCGGTCACATTGTTGTTGGACGTCTTTCATAGCCCCCGAGACACACCTAAACCCTACCCACTGTGGTACACGTCGCCATGCGGGATTTCTTCCAACTGGAGTCTACACTCTGTCTGTCCTGGTTAAAGCACCAGTTTTTGGCAGATGAATTCCTCCGTGCGCTACAACTGTTTTATCTCCATCCATGAGTTTCTTCTGTTTGTCTATCTGTAGATGTCTACTTCCAGGTAGAACAGTCACCTTCTGGAAGTGAATAATTAAAACACAATTAACAGAGGCCTTACGTCCACCACAACAGCTTCCTTAGGATTTAAATGGGAAAGTAGCAGCTGGATTTTCTGTATAGCGTTTAAAACTGAAAYCAAGTTATCTAATCTACTTTATGTGTACGTTTTGAGCACTGCCATAAATATTTTTGTTGTAGTCCAAGTTTTTTTATCACTTCATCCAAAAGAATGCTTATTCCCTGTTATTTTAATGTTTTGTTTTAATGTGGCTTTACAGACGATGCTCTTGGAGAAAATGAGAGTGACAAGAAGACCAGAGGGAGAGTCCGCTTTTAATGTCTTTTACTACCTGATGGCTGGAGTAGATAGCTCTCTTAGGTCAGCACCGATACTCTCTGGCTAATTAATCTAACAATACAGCTCTGCTCTACACTGGATTCATTACCATGTCAGTGATAAATCATTGCTGCTGGTCATTGTGTCAGCTGTCCCGTCTTCTCTCTCGTGTCCTCATCAGAACCGAGCTGCACCTCAACCACCTTGCGGACAACAATGCGTTTGGAATCGTGCCACAGGTAAGAGGCTGGAGATCAGAGGGCCAAAACGAGTCACTCGTTGTAAATGTTGTAGTGATTTGATGTGAACCTGGCAGGCGGATGATAAGCAGCGAGCCTCCCAGCAGTTCTCCAAGCTGCAAGTAGCCATGAAGGTTCTGGGGGTCAGCACTGATGAGCAGCGGGCCCTTTGGCACGTCCTTGGGGCCATCTATCACCTTGGAGCTGCCGGAGCTACCAAATGTAAGATTTCTGTGCTCACTACTGGCTTTTACATTCTGCAGCCGCTTCAGGTATTTGTATCCTTGATGTTTTTCATGACAGGATGCGCACCGTGAGTTTGTACCACTTACACGCTTATAAAACTTTTATTTATTAATTTGTTTTTTTTTTCATCAGCACCTTTTGTGCACTGACAGATGATGAGGCTGCATTAAAAAAAGCAGCACTTGTATGATGCAACTCAAAGGTAACACGGTTAACTGAATTATGCATCTACTTATAAAAGCTGGCGCTCGGTGCACAGCTCACTAAACTGAGCTGCACCAATCGGCAGCTGTAAATAAAAAATCAGGTTGTCAGTTAAAGCTATGCTTAGATGAAATCATTAAACCTTTGTTTTTATAGACTTTTCCTGCTTTTAGTTCGAAGCTGACGTTAAAACAATCCATGTTCTTCTTTCCTCCTACCTTATCACTCCTCACTCAGTAAGTGAAGGGATTTGACTAAATTCATTTTGTGCAAGAATGACTACTGGGGAASCAGTCTAATTTTGAGGAATCAATGTTGCAGCTTAAAAATGCAATCATTTCCTGTCATGAAGACATATCACTGTAATATTTGGATCATYTGTCCATTGAAATGGAAGGAACAGTGTATGCTCCAAGTCGCAGATGTATAATACAAAAGAGTTAGCAGTCTTTTTATCAGAAAAAAAGACATTTAAATGAGACTGCATTTGTTTGCTATCTGTTAGAAACATGTTTAATTTAGATCAGAATAGTTTTCTCTTTATTTACTAATTGSACTCTTCATTATCAAATGTTTGTCGGGTTTTAAAGGTGACATTTTGTGCAGCAGAGAAAGATTWGGGAGACTTGCTCCCACAAAGAACATTTTATGTCATTACTCTTACTGTGCAGGTTTACAAACTGAATACACAGCGTACACATGATCCACAGGGAGTACACAGTAGTCATGTTTACTATGGCGTTGCATTTTGCAGTTCACGCCTAACTCCCTGTCTGCACGGTCGTTTATGCAGAATAGCTTGCCAGATTATTGTCAGAGATCCCCTCCAGCTGGCTATTGATCTTTCTGATGGCAGAGTAATATCATCAGGGAGTGATTTCACAACAAGCAGTGGGTCTTAACGGGGAAACAAACTCCAACCAGTGTTCTCGCAGCCTGATAATTAACATGGCATTTGAGCTTTGCGTGGTTAAACATAGCAATTCCTGAGAATTCWTTTGCAATGATTACACTTTTACACCTATATGAGTCTTTAATTAAAAATAATTGTTGATAAAAATACATTTTTCAATCAGAGCTGAGTTTTTGTGATGCCTAAATCATGCAGTTTTAATCAGTCAACAAAACTGCAATCTCACTGTCCAACACAAGAGGGCAGCAGTGATCTCTAATCTCCCAGAACTAATTAAAGACACATCCTGGAATGAAGCTGCTTCTCTCTGACATTACTTAGAACTAAAATTATAAACTGATAAAGGCTTAGCACATGTGTCTGGGCTCTTTTCTTAAAATACATGTTTGTATAGATATATTTTATCCTTTTGGAGTTTTTTGACTCCATGTTTGACTCTGTAGTAAAAAGTTATATTGGTACATCCAGTTTCCTCTTTTTGATGTTTGAAATAATCACTGTTTTGCATATCAGTCGAGGCGAAGATTTAAAAGTCTTTGCTTGTATTTTAAATTATCCTGCTTCTCATTATGAGGTTCATGCAAGGTTTTTCTGTTGTGCCGATAAATCCCCCAATTTCTCTTCAGTTATAATCCAACCTGAATTGCTTTCTTGTAAAAACTTTTGAACTTGTTGTTTCAGTTTGTTTCCATCAGCTTTAAATTAGATTAAAAAGCTCCCCCCCCCAAAGAAGATTTTGTGTACATAAAACGTCTCCCTTTAGCAGTTTTGCTTTTCTTTTGATTTCCTTTTTTTATGCTACTATAGACGCATTTCCATTTTTATTTTTCTAATTAGAATTTATATCTTTATTATTCTGCTTTTAGTGCATTAGCTGTGTTCTTGTTAGGTGACCTGAATTGCAACCCTGCCCTGTTTAGTGGCAGAGTCGTCACAGTGTGCATGGACTTAGTTGGCTGAGTGTCTAATGGAGGTTTTAATGCACGTGTCTCAGCTGGCAGGAAACAATTTGCTCGTCACGAGTGGGCCCAGAAGGCAGCTTACCTGCTGGGCTGCACCCTGGAGGAGCTTTCCTCTTCCATCTTCAAGCATCAAGCCAAGGGCAACCTGCCCAGAGYCGGCGCCAGCCGCCAGGCTTCTGAAGAAAATGGCACAGCAGATGCAGGTACTCAGCAGAACACATTCACCAATGTATTCTTTCTTTTTTCGTTCCTCAGAGCCCTACATGCACCTCAGCGCCGCTCTTTTTCTCTTTGTCATTCTCACTCTGCTTTCCTCACACTCACACACACACGTCTGCTCATCACCTGAGGGAAATTGCATGGAAGGGAGAAAGTAAAGCTTATCTTAGTAATGAATACTACGCCTTTTACAATGGCTATTGACAGATGAGTGCACACACTATGTTGGGACGAGCAATTTTGGATCCCCTCCTCATTCATTGTCCTTGAAATCATAATTGCCTCACATTGATTTTTCACGTGTGCAGCTTCTCCGACTTCCATCAGGACTGCCACAGATGTTGAAGGGCACGRGGATACAGTTAAAAGTCTATCACAGCAGGGACGGACAGAAATAACCTCAGTCTCACCTTCTCCGGAGCTCCGCTCGCACATAAACCCGCTGTCCAATATGTGTGTGCTTGTCTGAAAACACCCCCCGTCCCTGCCACCAAACATAAACTCACCATTCTCTGTGATGGTAGAAAGAATTAAGTGAGCTTAACAGGTGGCTGTTGCCGCTGGGCACAGACATGAGTTAGCACAGTTAGATCTGACTGGTTCCAAAGCACCTATGTCCTAAATGTCAATGCTTCACAAAGACGATTCCAGATCCAGTGTGGATACTGCTGCCTCTGGGCACATATTTTGGAAGCAAACGTTGGGATGATAGTTGTAGTTAAACACTGGTATATTTCTTCTGATTAAAAAACTAGTACTTGTTTTGTTGGCACTTAAGAAATTGCAAACTGGAATTTATTTTTGAAAATCTTTCCTTCTAGGATCCAAGGCTACAGCCATGGAGTGTTTAGAGGCCTTGGCATCCAGCCTCTATTCTGAACTTTTTAACATTGTTGTATTTTTGATAAACAGGTTAGTATCAAAATCTTACTGTCATGTTTTCTGTGCACACATACACATTTAAATATGTATTTTTTTTGTTTATCGTATAATATATTGACTTTAATACAATGAGTGCAGAATCCAAGAGTCTACTTTCTTTTTATAAGATGGACAAAGCTAATGGAAATAAATCACATTTTTAAAAGTCTGATCAGTATTAAAACAATAGTCCAGATGTTTTGAAGTTAGGTTCTGTGTTAATGTTAAGAATAATGATTTTAACTGTTGTAGATAACTTTTGAATAAACTCAATTTAACAGAATTTAAATGTGACTGTATTGATGAGCAGAAGGCRAGTTTAAATCAGAGACCCACTTTTGAGGTGGTCTTGGTCCCTCGAACCGAACCAACTACAGGAAACCTGCRCCTTTTTGGACTTCATGAGCCACCGTTGCTAAGTGTCACAGTAACAATTAGCCCTCTTTGTCTGTGCTCTGTCCTGCCCCCTTCATTTTTGTCCAATGGGAGCAATGATGTACACCTACGTGGATTTGTTTCTAAATTATAGTCCGCTTACAACAAAGCACAATGTGAATGCAAACCACACCAAACGAAAAAAAAAGTATGTTTTTGGTCCGGACCAAACAAGTGAACCTGAAGTGGATTGCTGCYGTCTTAAATTAACTCCAGTGTATGAAATCTTAAAGACATTCCTTCGAACACTCTAAAATTTTACATTGCTGCCAATTTGCATTACGCTATTATTTACATAGCATTTCAGATTATTTGTTACCRTAAACGGTGATATCTGGTTTACACAGCAAGATTTTAAAATTGTCAACTTGATTTTCAAAACCCGACAAACCYCACGCGTGACRATAAAAAACATAGATRTAACRGGTTTGGTCCGACACTGTGTGGTGTACATYCACACGGCAAAATACAACACACCACACAAACYGATTTCACTCACAAACATTCAGATGTCAGGTTCCCTGCAGACTCATTCATTCTTAATCGGTACAATTGTCTTTCCATTTGAACCTGGCATAAACAGGAACAACTAACCCTAACTGAAACCAAAGTGAGGTCATTCAAAGAKTTATCYACAAGAAGTATGACATTAGTTGTTCATGACCTAGATCCTGACTATTCCTTTAAGACTGAAGCTCTGTAAATGACATCACTWAAAGATGTCGGACACATTGTTATGCCATCCTTAACATGAGATATGTGCATGCTTTATTCCCTGTCTGCTTAAGGGCCTTGAAATCCAACCAGCACTCCCTGTGCTCTCTGCTCATTGTGGACACGCCAGGCTTTCAGAACCCAAGGCTCGCTAAGCGCGAGAGCGGCACAACCTTTGAAGACCTCTGCCACAACTACACTCAAGAGCGTTTGCAGAGCCTCTTTTACCAGCGCACCTTTGTTCAGGAGCTGGAAAGATACAAAGAGGTAGAKACGTGTGAAGGCTAATGCTCTGTGCATATATGCATCCTCTCTCTCCTTGTTTCTGCCTTCCTCCCTCCCCTCTCTCTCTCTCTCCCTTTGTCTGCCGCCTTTTCTCAGATATATCAACTCCAATAGTGCATGTGTTCACACATCAGATACGCTACCCATCCCACCTGTCACAAGCTGTGACAAGCCGAAGCAGTTCATGTGTTAGACCTTCTCATTAGTGATGCCAGTCTTCACCTCTTCTGCTGAGATCAAAGTAAAGTCACTCACAGCTGCCTGTCAGCGACACGCCCAGCTGCACAGCCGCGGCGTTGCTCCCTGATGAAAGAACTATTCTTCTTCTGTCCTCCTCTGAGCCCRTTCTAGCAGAACCAGACCATAATAACTGGGCACAGTCATCCTCAAGGATTTATTAAAGGGCAAATACCCAAGATTTCTTTCTCAACCTACAAATGAATTGATCCACTCCTGCCACCAATCTGATCTCACAAATGCTCTTCTTTGTTGACGACACAGTGAAGTTAACATGAAATCCTGATAACATTGTTTTAAATGCAGCCAACACGCATCTCGGGACTTCCCACCTGCTTCGCCACCCACGCCTTTTGCCCGAGAGGCTACGAATCTGAGCAAAATGAAGTTTTTGCACAAAAGTGTGCCGTGTATTTTTTTCCTGTCACTACAGCTTGAAAATATATGAAGCTGTGAAACTGTCACTGTAAAACTGGGTCAAGCTCATTTAAAACAGCACTCAGCGTTAACAATAACAGTGACAGGCAGGTCAGATTGTGAAGCGTGACAAAATCGTGTGCATTTTAATCTGGATTCTAATGTTGTTTAGTGCTGAAGAACTTTCTGCTTCACACATGCAGTGAATGAACTCGTACACTAACATCACAGTTGGTGAAAGTAATTTTAGTATATTAATTTCCCCCTTCACCGTAGACATGTTTTTTTTATCTGCCACATTTCCGTTTACCTACAGGAGAACGAATACAGTAAATGTCAGACTTTCTTGTTCTTATAATAGATTTGTTGTGCCTTGTATTTTTTTATGACATCTAATATGCCATTGTTTCCATGAGTTTTAATATCCAAGATGGTTTTCTGATTTATTGTGCCTCTTGGCACGCCTTCAGTTTTGACAAAAAAAAAATAAAGAAAAAAAGAAAACGACATCAGGATTTGTAATTAGTTGGTGACTGCCAGCTGACTGCAAAAGTAAGTACTATGTGTATTAAAAAGAGAATTAGAACAAAGTATTTTTTTGATTAATTGTTCAAAATCATTTTTTAAAAATGTTATTTATGGAATGGTTTAAAAAGAATAGAAAGGTTTAAAGAAATATTAACATTTCTACAGTTTCACAGTTTTTCAGCTGGTTCTGAGTTCAGATTTTGGCCAAGGACCAGAATCACAAAAGACAAATGTTATTTATATATTATAATTTTTTAAATTTCAAAATAATGTTTATATGGACAAAATAAAAAAAATGCACTACTGTTCAAAATCAGTTTTTAAAAAATGTTCTTTATGGAATGGTTTAAAAAGAATAGAAAGGTTTAAAGAAATATTAACATTTCTACAGTTTCACAG